ACATATGAAACATATTTCTATGTTTGTTGTTACACTGTAACCTTCCTATAGTGAACACCTTTACAATGAATTTTTTTATATAATGAACACGTGTCCCAGTGCTTCATTATAGTGAACACTTCACTATAACAAACCCAATGTATTATGTGCTTCATTATAGTGAACACTTCACTATAACAAACCCAATGTATTATGTGCTTCATTATAGTGAACACTTCACTATAACAAACCCAATGTATTATGTGCTTCATTATAGTGAACACTTCACTATAACAAAACCAAAGCATTAAGTGCTTCATTATAGTGAACACTTCACTATAACAAACCCAATGTATTATGTGCTTCATTATAGTGAACACTTCACTATAACAAAACCAAAGTATTATGTGCTTCATTATAAGTGAACACTTCATTATAACAAACCCAATGTATTATGTGCTTCATTATAGTGAACACTTCACTATAACAAAACCAAAGTATTAAGTGCTTCATTATAGTGAACACTTCACTATAACAAACCTAATGTATTATGTGCTTCATTATAAGTGAACACTTCATTATAACAAACCCAATGTATTATGTGCTTCATTATAGTGAACACTTCACTATAACAAAACCAAAGTATTAAGTGCTTCATTATAGTGAACACTTCACTATAACAAACCTAATGTATTATGTGCTTCATTATAGTGAACACTTCACTATAACAAACTAATTGTCTCCCTAAAGCGTTTACCCGGTATATAATGTACATACAGTGTATAATTTTATTCCGATATTTCTAAAAATTACCCCCCCGCCCACCATTCCATACATACATTGCAACACAAGTGCAATGGAATATTCTAAACACATTTAAGTGCAAAGTTTTATCGCCAAGATTGGTGACACCAGGGTTAACACCTCTCAAGAAGACACAGACACTAATTTAACTGTTTTTAACCTGTCTCGGGAGCTTTTATGAAAAAGAGATCATCAGTTATATAATTGTACATTACTGACACACTGGTTTATCATTTTTGTAAACAATATTGTTCGTCTCACAGTACTGAATACTTGTCTAAATACAATGTTGCTACCTGACTAGTAAATTTACACACTATATTGGTGTTCAAATGCAATTTGCAGCGGTGATAAGACTTTGTTGCTATATATAATCCAAGGGTAAATAACTCAAAAATCACCATTTTCATGAAGATTAGACTTGTATCTTGCACGAAAAGTAGTTAGGTGAACATGTATTTTTTTATCTTGGTTTTGTGAAAAACATGATATAAAACCATATTTCGAAGAAAATCTAATCATTTATTTTAATGGCAGCAAACTAACTACTTTAAACACATTTTTATATCAATATTAAAGCGCGGTGGTCGTCGCGCAGCGCGTGTTGGAATTTCATGTAAATAAACAATGTATTTTACACGTGTTGTATACGTCGCTATGAGTCCCATATCGAACAGGACGCGGCGCAACGACTACTGCCCTTTAACTGTAGTGTACACATAGCAATACATAATTGTGATTACCTGCCAGAATGAGCAGCATTTTTCTTCCAGCCTTGTCCATTAATATCGCACAAACACATGTAAAGACAACCTGAACTGCTCCGACAATAACAGCTGCATATGCACCATTTCTGAAACCGGCACCCTCAAAAATACTCTGTGTGTAGAACATTACAGCGTTGATCCCACTGAATTGTTGGAAAACCATCAGCAATAGACTTATGACAAGTGGTCTGTAAATACTAGGCTTCAAAAACTCTGACCATGCCATAGTCTCCTGAAATAGAACAATAAAATATACATCAAAACACATTCCCAATTATCCTACAAGATTTTAAAGTATGTCAAAGCATAATCTATGGGGATTCTATAGTATGCCAACACACATTCCATATTATCCGATGGGGATTCTTAAGTGAGGCAAAGTGTATTCTATGTTATCCTATGGAGATTCTAAAGTAAGTTGAAGCATAATAAATGTTATTCCAAAGAGATTCTAAAGTATGTCAAAACATATTCCATAGTATCCTATGGAGATTCTAAAGTAAGTGAAAGCCTATTCAATTTTATTCTATGGGGATTCTTAAGTATGTCAAAACACATTCCATAGTATCCTATGGAGATTCTAAAGTAAGTGAAAGCCTATTCAATTTTATTCTATGGGGATTCTTAAGTATGTCAAAACACATTCCATAGTATCCTATGGAGATTCTAAAGTAAGTGAAAGCCTATTCAATTTTATTCTATGGGGATTCTTAAGTATGTATGTCAAAACACATTCCATAGTATCCTATGGAGATTCTAAAACAAGTTGAAGCATATTCCATATTAGCCTATGGGGATTCTAAAGTAAGTTGAAGAATATTCCATATTATCCTATTGAGATTCTAAAGTAAGCGAAAGCCTATTTTATTCTATGGAGCTTGTAAAGTGAGGCAAAGCATATTCTATGGTACCCTATGAATTGATTTAGTGAATCTTACTTGTTGATCTAAATTTGATTCAATATTACAACACTCATCATCGGAAAGCCTATTTTATTCTATGGAGCTTGTAAAGTGAGGCAAAGCATATTCTATGGTACCCTATGAATTGATTTAGTGAATCTTACTTGTTGATCTAAATTTGATTCTATATTACAACACTCATCATCAGGATCTATATGCGGTCCTCGTAACCATGCCACCGTTCTTATGGCATCATTTCGTCTATTCACACTCAATAAGTACCGGGGTGTCTCTGGCATCATGACTACCAAGACAATCATCAACGTTGGAAACATAGCACCAATCAAAGCTAACCAAACATAGCTTAAATGGCCTAATCCTGAATAGAGAAGAAAGAGTATTAGAGTTTGACACACTTAAAATCCCAACAAAACAACCAGTTTCTGGCCTATATACTGTACTTCCAACACACAGTACATCTGTCTATTCAAGCAAGATAGACTTCTAATTAATAAATGTACCCTGTTATTTTGCAATGTTCAAAAAAAGATTTAAATTTGCATACTTTAAATCTATTACCCTTTTATGCTAAACATAGTAAGGCCAGACTTTTTTTATTCCTTGTTTCTCAAGTTTTTATAAGAAAATTTTTTTGAGGAGGGCGAAAATAAAATAAAATTAATTCTTTTTTTCCATTAGATTTGTGTGATTCTCAAAGAATTGTAAGTGAGATCATTGATCAAAGAGAAGAAATGAAATAAAATTTTATTCCATGTATAACCTTGTTTCTCATCTGCGCGAGACTTCGGTACTTTGATCATAATACTCCCACGAAAATGCAACTTGGGTTTGTTATGCGGCGGGTGAAAAAAGAAAATGAAGAGAAAAATAAGTTTTTTTTAGCAATTGTTTTTTTTAGCAATTGTTTGCACTTACATGTCGGCAGACGCAAGAAATTACACTGAAATAAAATTTTATTTTTATTTCATTTTCGGCTCTAGTTCATTCGGCGGGTTCGCGAAACAAGGGATAATAAAAGTCTGGCCTAAGGAAACTATTATTATTATTATCAAGCAAATAATAGTTATGCATCGCTTGACATCCTTTGATATACATGTCATGCTGTATCTCCAATGATCTCGACTGGATATCAAAACACATTGTACCATCAACGATTTCAACAAAACAAGAAATTATTTTACTCACTGTAACTACAGTATAACTACGTTCTGTGACAAAAAAGTGCTTTAAAACAATGTAGGTAAATCATAACATTTCCTCATGCACCGGGGGATAGAATATAAAAGCATTGCTTTCAGCATGAATGCTTTTGGTTCCATGTTGTTGGAAATTCATCACTACCATATATTGATAGACGTCATGAGTGACTTAATGCATGAATTCAAATCTTTGATTGGAAATCTACTCTCCAGATCTACGATCCCAAATAAATATTCACATCTTCAAAATGTTGTGATTTCTTGACTCGAAAATATATTTACTGTCAAATTGAAGTGTTTTATACAATATGACTTTTTAAATGGCAACTTTTTACACATTTTTATGTATTTTTTCCATCCTTTTTTTTTATTAGTTTTAAACCAAATAAATACCAGTACATATAGTGATCAAAATTGTTGAAAGTATATGGGAAAAAAAGTTTGGCAAATTTACTTTATGAAATGTGATGAAAGTCAGTGTTTTAAATGTTTCATACAATGACATTACTGCAGATCTTATCTTACCCATGACATATGCAAAGAGAATTCCAACCGTGACAGCTACTTGAAAACCAGCTCCCAAAAAACCTCGTAATGATGCAGTTGATACCTCAGCAATGTAAACCTAAAAAATATAGTGTATCGATACATTTTTACTTCTCACATTTGCATGAGATGTGGTCCCCCATTTGGTGTATAATTCCAGTTTAAAATGTGATTACATCATTAAACTGGTTTTTAACTTTGGTATCCATGTATGCCAATGGTGATATGCGCA